TGGTGCAACGGTGCTCCATGGTGCTGCATGGCGCTGCATGGTGATGCATGTTGGTGCATGGTGCTGCATGGTGCTGGATGTGCTGCATGGCGATGCATGGTGATGCCTGCATATGCATGGTGCGGCATGGTGAAGTGTGGTGCTGCATGATGATGCTTGCAGCTGCATGATGCGGCATGGTGCTGCAGAGTGCTGCATGGAGCTGCATGGCGCTGCATGGTGCTGCATGGTGCTGCATGGCGCTGCATGGTGCGATGCATGGTGATGCTTGCAGCTGCATGGTGCGGCATGATGAAGTGTTGGACTGCTAGGTGTTGCACTGTGCTGCACCATGCTGCACAGTGCTGCATGGTGATGCATGGTGCAGCATGGCGCTGCTCGACGCAGCGTGGTGTTGGATGGTGACCAACTGTGCTGCTTCCCACGTCTGAAGGGTGCGGCAGGGTGAGATACCCCCAGGTCACCCTCGCGAGGTGACCCACAGGTACCCCTCAGGTTACCCCCGCACCCAAGCGACGGCTACAAAATGGTAATTCTCGCAATTTGCATTTCGTGTGAATGTTGTGTAACCCAAAAGATACCCCCATAGCTTCGGATCGAGCCTGCTCACTTGGTTTGTTCACACTCTTCCAACAACCACTGCTGACCCCGAGCACTGTACACGTTTCCATAACAGCAGCTATGTTCAACAGTGATTTAAACGTATCGAGATACTCTGTATTGAGGTTATACTGATGTGTTTAGGTGGCAGTCAGCATTTCGTGCACCAATCACATTTGTCCTAGGCACTTCAGCAGAAGAGTCGCCCACTTGGATGTATTTCACAACCCCATCTCGCCCACTTCCCTCATATCATTTTGTGTTGCCAAGCTGTTGAGTTTACAATTCTCTTAACTCGCCGCCATGTCCGCATTTTCCGCTGCCTGGACTTCCGAGACATTGCTGGAGGTTATGCTTGAACGATAAAGTAGCTTAGTTTCGGGGTTACTCTTTCCGTTATTAATCAGCCTCAATACCCTGACGATTGGAGGCATGCATGTCAATGAGTTTTTTAACCGTCAGTTGCTAATTGCTTCCTCGCGCCATGTGCGTTTCTGTGGCGCGCGGCAAGCGGCGGTGAATTGGCGCGCAGCAGCTTGGCGGAATCGCGCTCAGCAGCTGCGGCAGAATCGCGCTCAGCAGCTTGGCAAAATCGCGCTCAGCAGCTGCGGCAGAATCGCGCTCAGCAGCTGCGGCGGAATCGCGCTCAGCAGCTGCGGCGGAATCGCGCTCAGCAGCAGCGGCAGAATCGCTCTCAGTAGCTGCGGCGAAATCGTGCGGAGCAATTGCGACGGAATGACACGCAGTAGCTAACCTTGCCAGCTGCATCATTCGCTTTGAAGGTTCGTTTTTGTTTTCTTTCGCTGGCTCATTCAATCTGTTTGTTATTCTTCCTATTGCGAATGACAGCTACCTGCATTAGGTTTGCTCATATGGCGGCCACCCGCATTTCAGGTGTGCAGGCGGCTCCATGCTAACCAATATTTCCTCCTCCCCACATCCTTTTCCTGGCCTTTCTGCTTCTCCTGCTCTCCTTACCCCTCTCACCAGCCATACCAACCAACCAAACCCCCTCCCCCAATAATTTTTGCCACTTGGTCTGATCACTTTCTAGTTTTTTTTGTGATTTGTTTTTCCGCAGGTGCTGAGGATAGTGAAATATGGTGAATTTTTTCACTGCCATTTTGTTCATGTACGATGCCCATTATTAAATAATCAGAGCTCTAGTCATCTGCTCTTGCAAACATGATCATTGATGCTGGGATGCCAAATACTAATAATTATCGCTCCCTGCATACTATTATTCTTTTAGGTTCATAATGAGTAGGTGAGGGTGAGTCGTGTTCTGCGCATGGACAGGCATGGGATGCGCGGATGAGTAGAGAAGGTGTGGGTTGTGTTCTGCGCATGGATAGGCATGGGATGCGCGGATGAGTAGAGAAGGTGTGGGTTGTGTTCTGCGCATGGACAGGCATGTGATGCGCCTACGGGATGGTGAGTTGTGTGCTGCGCATGAACAGTCGTGGGATGCGCGTACGGGAGGGTGAGTTGTGATCCGCGCATGGACAGGCATGGGATGCGCGGATGACCAGGTGAGGGTGAGTTGTGTTCCGCGCATGGACAGGCAGGCATGGCATGCACGGATGAGTAGAGAAGGGGGGGGTTGTGTTCTGCGCATGGACATGCATGGGATGCGCGGGTGAGTAGGTGAGGGTGAGTTGTGTTCTGCGCATGGACAGGCATGGTATGCGCGTACGGGGTGGTGAGTCATGGACATGCATGGGATGCGCGGATGAGTAGGTGAGGGTGAGTTGTGTTCTGCGCATGGACAGGCATGGGATGTGCGGATGAGTAGAGAAGGGGGGGTAGTGTTCTGCGCATGGGCAGGCATGGGATGCGCGGATGAGTAGAGAAGGGGGGGTTGTGAACTGCGCATGGACAGGCATGGTATACGCCTACGGGATGGTGAGTTGTGTGCTGCGCATGAACAGGCGTGGGATGCGCGTACGGGAGGGTGAGTTGTGATCTGCGCATGGACAGGCATGGGATGCACGGATGACTAGGTGAGGGTGAGTTGTGTTCTGCGCATGGACAGGCATGGGATGCGCGGATGAGTAGGGAAGGTGGATGTGGGGGGGGTTGTTGATTCTTGTGCGTTCTGCAGGTGCGTCAGCAGGACAACGAGAATGACTGTGGCGTTTTTGTTATGTGTTCATTCATACGCTTGTTGAGACCAAGTTCGACAGTTTGCACGCGTGTGACTTGGTCGGGACGCCAAGGCAGTGGAGGCGCCAATATCGTCATGATTTGGCTAAGTGGTTTTGTGTCTATGACAACGCAAGTACCGTAGTTTGATCCAGGCTGTTTGATACCACTAAGCCTGCTTGTTTGTAGTTAGTGACATGCATTAGCAGTTGCGTTCTGCTGCATCGTACCGCAAAACGTTTGATGCAAATTTGACTGGCAGTATGGTACCTGGTCTACTCCAGACGGTAAGCTCTAAGCAATCCATTACATAGTGTCTGGTCTCTCAGAAACACATAAAAATGCACCTACGGTAAACACATTATCGTTCTACTGCAGCACCATATATAAGCTGGTACCTCGGCCCATGAATGTAGAAATGAGGCCTCTCTGAAGCTTCTATATTCTCCATGGCTGTAACATTTATGTGGCATGCCAGTTGTTGGTGTGAAACTAACAACGACTGCTCTCAACAATTGCAAAGTGTTGACTGAAGGCTGATAGGATTGGACGTTGGTAAAGTCATGTAAGCCACTCATGCCTAGTATTCACCCTATATCGCCTCTGACGATTTTTTGGGTGATATATGTTGTTTCCGAGACCGCTAGTTTATGCGTCAAGGATTGCTGTTTCGAAACACCCTAAAACTACCTAGATTTGAAGTGCCATTTTGTAAACAAGTATTCCACTATTACCCAAATTCGTCATACTCAGATATCGGCAGACCTGATACATCCTCGCTACAAAGAGTGATGCCACAAAATCGAAATTTCAACTCATCCACGAGGGCCATTATCGAACCACGATGTGCGAAATCGTTCACGGCTCCAAGCGCGCAAGTGCTGAGACAACGCGCTGGCAATTTGATGCTGTCACATTTTGTTTTTTTTCTTGTGCGGCAGTCCTGGTTCAGTTTCCGTACTCACGCATGTACTTACTTACTGGTCCCAGTGTAGGGCGTTCTAGCCATATTAGGCTGCTGTAATCTAGGATATAAAATCATGGCTCATTGCCAGCGCGTTCCATGCAACTTCAGGGCAGCTAAACTGTTGCGATATACCACCACCACCCGGCGTGCTGCCATATGGGATTTCGTTACAGGAACCAGCATCTTGATGCCGATTCTCAAGAGGGGAGTTGAGGCCACAATACCCTCCACGTCCGAATCACCCAGTTTGTCTAGCTGGTAGCAGTTCGGTTCTCCTCACGATATCCTTCAAAGATAGGCACGTCAAGCAATTGCTATCTGTTGGTCAATGTCGATGTTCCCTCTGGCACTTGTACATGCAAAGTGAGAGGCTGTTAGCGCTAGGCACGTAATAGCCGTCACGGTGCTGTTCTCGTAGTAGGCACATACTGCTCTGGCGTGGCGGTGCTGTTGTCGTAGTAGACACGTCCTGCTTGGCGCGGCAATGCTGTTCACGTAGTAGGCTTGTAGTGCTTGGCGCGACGGTGCGGATTACGTTGTAGGCCGCTCTTCCTGCTTTGGCGCGGCGGTTCTGTTCTCTGACGGCGCGTCCAGCAATGGCGCGTTTCGCGGCTGTTCTAGCTTGGTCGACTTTGGTCGGCGCGTTTCGCGGGCACGTGATGCAATTGCGCACTGCTGTTCTTCCAGGCACGTCCAGCTCGCGCGCTACTATTCCTTGCGTCTCTGAGGCCTATTTATAGAATGCTTGATCCTACAGGATGCACAGCTTAGTCTTGTAACCGTTAATAGGGCTTGTTTAGCGAAATTGAGAGAGAGATGGCGGACATCATCGTTACTGAACAGGCCAATGCTTGTGCGCTCCTCGGTAGCGGTGGAGCTTTACAAACCTTGGGCGACGCGAGACCCGACGCGGAACATAACGTGCATGACAAGATGACACATCAGAATACCTCTCAACTAGTTGTGAGGTATCGTCGGAAGAACACGCTTCCTGCATGCGATGCCCAAGTGGAATCGGAAGGGGCATCTTCATCGGATAGTGAGCAATCCGAGGAAGAGGCACACGATGGCAAGGTTAGATGCGGGGGTTCACGCGGGCTGAGGCATGGTCGAAAGCTGAAGTCGTTGGACGAATGCAAACCTGCTAACGGTAGGAAAGGTACGCATGCAGCTTTTATATCCCTTCTTCGTGCTTGTATGAGCACGAAATTTGCTCGTTTATAGCCTGGTTATGTTTGCACCCAATCCAGAGAGGTGCTGCCCTATCTGAGCATATCGTCCTTACGTTATGCGTGTTGTAGGTACCCTCACCGGAGCCAAGAATAGTAAGAGGAAAGGAAAACAAGACGTGGCTGGTGCATCAGGACATGTAGAAGATATAGACGACGAGGAGAAACTGCCAGAGAAAGGGCATAAGCGTGAGGGCGAGCGTGAGGGCAGGCGTGAGGGGGAGCGTGAGGGCAGGCGTGAGGGAGAGCGTGAGGGCAAGCGTGAGGGCAGGCGTGAGGGCAGGCGGGAGGGAGTGCGTGAGGCTGAGCGTGAGGGAGAGCGTGAGGGAGAGCGTGATGTGAAGCGTGAGGGAGAGCGTGATGTGAAGCGTGAGGGAGAGCGTGATGTGAAGCGTGAGGGAGAGCGTGATGTGAAGCGTGAGGGAGAGCGTGATGTGAAGCGTGATGCGTCTTCTCCCTCTACTCCAGCAGGTGCTCGTGCGGCTGATGCTCAGAATGTTCGTGGGCATGGGGAGGGTGGGACGGAGAGATGTGGCGCGGAATTAGAAGATCAGAGGGGGGTGTCAGTAAGGGTGAAGGCACGGTCCAGAAAGGCTGGAAAGAGGGCCGTTGCTGAGGTCGAATCTTCTGATGGAGAAGATAGTTCTGAGGAGGAATCAGGGGGTTCCTCCGGGAGCGAGGAGAAGTATGATGAGGAGGAGGACGAGAGTGATGACGATGAAACTGGGTACGGGAGTGATGACGACGGTAGGAGAGGGGGGAGGGCACAAGGAGCGCGCAACCATCGCTATAAGGGAAAGCGTGGTCATGCAACCGGTGGTAAGGCCGGTAATGGACGTAAACGGCAGAGACGTCGAGAGTGTGCTCAAGGAAAGCGCAAAGATACTGAGGGTTACGCCCGGGGTCGTAAAGAGCGTCCTGTTGTGAGACATGACCTTAGCTTCTACAGTGAAATGAGGACCATGGTGAACTCGGATGATGCTGGTCCGTCGCATCGTCGGGAGAACGTTCGGATGAAACGGGCAGAAACCAACGATCCGTACGCTGCCCTTGCTTCTACCTCAGGATTGGGAAAGAGAGCAGCATAGGAGTGTGCGTGACAACGCTGGCCAGCAGCATGACAACACGCACAATCCAGCCAGTGGTAGTGACGATCCGGCCTGTGGTGGGGGGCTGAGGGCGGAAGATGGTGAGGCGGGTGGTGTTGGAGATTGGTTCAATGGTAAAGTTGGACGCTCTGACCCAGCAACTCCACCCCTGTTCGCATCAGCAAGAGGCGATTCCCCGCTCGACGCTAGCGGAGTGCCCATCATTCCCTCAAGCACCTAATGAATCCATGCAGCAACTCTTCCAGGCATTGCAGGAAGCTAATCGGCAGATTGCCAAGCTAAAGGCCGGTCGTGGACCTTCGGTGGACCGGGGGGGAAATGGGACGCAAATCCCGCTGCTTACCTCGATATCCAGTGAACAACCTGAGCCGCCTGAAACGCCGGGCGATGTGGCGGAGAGCGCTGTACAAGGCACTCCCATCACCAGGAGGCATGGGATGCCAAACGCGACTAATTTGAAGGTAAGTGCCACCAATTTCTCCTACCGATTGCCACACCTGACTCGCTGGCTTGCTCATTATATGGTTTTGTTTGACCAATGGTGCATTTTCATTCTCTTTATCCGGTTGTCTAGTTTTTCCCACTCTCTGGTTTCATTCTCTGCAGGGACTCATTCTCATTCCCACTCTTTGGTCTCATTCTCTGCAGTGACTCATTCACATTCCCACTCTCTGGTTACCTTCTCTGCAGTGATTCATTCTCATTCCCACCCTCTGGTTTCACTCTCTGCAGTGACTTATATTCATTCCTACCCTCTGGTTTCATTCTCTGCAGTGACATATTCTCATTCCCAATACCCCACATTCCCATTCTCTGGTTTACCCTATATTCTCATTCTTTGGTTTACCCCTCCTCATCCTTTGGCTTATCCCTCTTTGTCATTCTCCGGTTCACCTCTCATTCACATTCTATAGTTTGCCCCTCATTCTCATTCTTACCCATCATTCTCATTCTCAGCATCCATGCCGTGCAAGTGCTCATTCTCATTCATAGTCGCTGGTTTTCCATGCATTCTTATGATCTGGTTTCATTCGTTGCAATTCTCTTTATCATTCTCATTCTCATGGTTTCCGATCCCATTCTTTGGCCCATCCATGGCAATGGCTCATTGTCTAGTTTCCTCTGTTCTTTCATTTAATTCGTTAAATATGTTAGAATGAGAGAAGTGTTTGACTAGAAAGAAGTGGGAGTACAAATAGAGTTGTGAACCCCTATAGGCTAACCCACTATAGCCTACACAAATATAACAAGTATAATGTTTGACACACCCCCATAGGCGAAGTGGGGGAGAGCAAGGGGTCACAAGACCAGTCAAAGCAAAGCAAGGCAAAACAAGCTCAGGGTGGATCTCAAGGATACCACACAAATTCTGAGCACAAGCAAGCGGTCACAAGACCAGTTCACATGCAGTTTGATAATATAACAAGAGGTACAGTGATCACAACCTAACAAGTGTAAGCATGCAGGTATATATATAGAGATCACAGTACAAGCAGAGTCAAGAAGTGAGCAAGTGAGGGAGAGTAGGCACATGGCCTAGAACAGTACAGAAACGTTGATGGTCACAAGGCTGAAGTGCCTTGGTGAACACATCTGCAGTGTTGGCCCGAGTGGCCACGTAACGCAGACGAAGCTGACCGCGCTGCTGCAGCTCTCGAGCAAGGAAGTAGCGCAGAGCGATATGCTTCGTTCTGTGCTCCAGTCTGTGCTCCTCACACAAGGCAATGGCAGCCTTGTTGTCGACGTACAGCACTGGAGGAGAACGAGGCCGCTCTCCCAAGTCGGTCAGCAGGTAGGTGAGTCAACGTAGCTCCTGGGCCGCCATGGCTGTGGCGTAGATCTCAGCCTCACAACTGGAGCTGAGAACAGAAGAAGAGCGTGTAGAACGCCAAGAAACTGAACCAGAGCCAAGGCTGAAAGTGTAACCCTGAGACGACCGCTGAGTAGCCTGGTCGTCCGCCCAAGAAGCGTCTGAGTGCCCAGTGAGTACAACTCGGTCTCGCCCTTCAAGCACTAGCCCCATTCCCGGCGTACTGCACAAGTAGCGCAACACCCTCTTAGCGGCATCCATGTGCTCCTTCCGGTGACGGCCAGGAGCGACATAGCGTGCAAGGATGCTAAGAGGGTATGCAAGGTCAGGTCGAGTGCAGGTCATCAGGTACATGAGGCAGCCCACAAGCTCTGGATACGGGCCACTCGGCTCTACGGACTCATCCGAAGGCAGAGCTGAGAGCGAGTGACCGGTAGGCAGAGGAGTGGGCTGAGGCGAGGAGTACGTGAAGCGGAAGCGCTGAAGGACCTGCTGCACCATGTGTGACTGAGTCAAGGTGATGGTGCGCCGTGCTCTGTCCCGGGTGATCCGCAAGCCAAGATAGCTTGTCAGTTCACCCAGATCTGTGCACGTGTGTCTCTTCTGCAGCTCCGACTTCACGTGGGCGAGTGCCGCAGTGTCAGCAGTGGCAAAGACTAAGTCGTCGACGTACACGAGGATGTAGAACGGCGGCAGCGAAGTGTCGGTGCGTAGAAATAGCGACGGGTCAGCAGTAGAAGGAGCGAACCCAAGAGCCGCAAGTGTAGTCCTCAGTGTGTCGTGCCACTCACGCGGCGCCTGTCGGAGACCGTAGACTGGCCGTCGGAGGCTCCACTGGGTACCAGGAGGGAACGACCCAGTGAAGCCAGGTGGGCGGCGCAGCCAGATCTCCTCGTGCAGGCTGCCCTGTAGGAAAGCAGTGCTGAAGTCAAGAGAGTGGAGCTCGTAGTCACGCTGAGCAGCGACGTGCAGCAGAACCCGAAGAGTGGTCATCTTCGGGGTCGGGGAGAAGGTCTGGAAGAAGTCAACTCCCTCTCGCTGACTGAAGCCTCGTGCAACGTAACGCGCCTTGAAGACAGGCGGAGAACCCGGCGGCCGCTTCACCCTGAAAATCCACATGCCACTGACGATGTTCGCCCCAGGTGGGGGAACCTCGTCGACGTAGGTGCCTGTGGACTTCCAGGAAGCCATCTCTGCGTCCATGGCTGACTGCCACTGTGAGGAGTAGGGACCCTCGATCGCCTCAGCGTACGATCGAGGAGTCGGGATGTCTGGTGCATCCGGGTCTCCCTCAGGGGCAACTAGCATGGACACGAGATGGGGCAAAGCAGCGGCAAAGCACTCAAACTCCTCTTGCCTGTCCTCAAGGACGTCCGTGCCAAGAGCACACTCACCCCCAACGGACAGAGGACAGACAGACTCAGACTCAGCAACTAGGCTAGCGGCGTAGTCCAGACGACAAGTGGCAGCAAAGTCGACAAGCTCAGCAACTAAGGCAGACGCAGCAGTGGACTCAAAGGAAGGGTCAGTGACAACAGTAGCCAGGAGACGTGTGACAGTAGGATTGGTAGCACGAAGGGAGTCAGACTCAGGGTCAGCAAGAGCAGGAAGAGAGGACGCAGGATGAGACGGGAGAGGGACACGCTGGGGAGCAGTGGAAGGACGAAGCGCCATCTGGTGAGTGCCTGGGACAGCAGGAGGACGCTGACGCGGGACACGACGACCAGTGTGAGCAGCACGAACAGGCGACGCTCGACGAGACTCAGGCGACGCTCGACGAGACTCAGGCGACGCAGGACGAGACTCAGGCTCACGACGCTCCGTAAGACCTCCAGTCGGACCAGTGTAAGGAGCAGGACCAGGGAGAGGGGAGGCAGACGGTAACTGTGACTGCGACTGGACAGACGGAGGACACGCTAAGGAGGGAGGAGGCTGACCAAGAACCTGCTGAAGGAGCGGAACGAAGTACGGCCGCGGCCGCGCAGCGTCTCCAGGACCAGCAGAGACACCAGCGCCAGGGTCCGCAGCACCAGCAGCAGCACCAGCTCCAGAGTCCTCAGCACCAGCAGCAGCTCCAACGCCCGGGTCCGCAGCACCAGCAGCAGCACCAGCTCCGGAGTCCTCAGCACCAGCAGCAGCTCCAACGCCCGGGTCCGCAGCACCAGCAGCAGCTCCAACGTCAGGGTCCACAGCACCAGCAGCAGCTCCATCTCCAGGGTCCACAGCACCAGCAGCAGCTCCAACTCCAGGGTCCGCAGCACCAGCAGCAGCTCCAACGCCCGGGTCCTCAGCACCAGCAGCAGCTCCAACTCCAGGGTCTGCAGCACCAGCAGCACCACCGGCAGCGTCAGCAGTACCAGCACCAGCAGCACCTCCAGCAGCAGCAGCACCTCCAGCACCAGGGTCCGCGACACTAGGAGCTCCACTCCGGAGACTGCAGCGCCGCGCGTACCACTCTCGGAGCCACTGGGGAGAGGACAGCTCCCGCCGAGGAGGGGAAGCACTAGCACCGGCTCCAGCAGCCCTCCTGGCTCCAGAAGCACCTCTCCTGAGGCTGCAGTACTGTAAGTACCACTCACGCAGCTGCTGAGAGGAGAGAGCTCCTCCAGGTGCAGCACTCCCAGGCTCAGCACCTCCAGACTCAGCACCCTTAGACTCAGCACCCCCAGGCTCAGCACCCCCAGACTCCGCAACCCCAGGCTCCGCACCCCCAGGCTCCGCACCCCCGGGCTCCGCTAGCTCAGGCTCCGTTCGCTCAGGCTCAGCACCCCTAGCAGGACGAGAGTCGACAGCCACCTCGACAGGCTCAACCGGGTCTACCTGGGACACACCTGAGGGAGCGGCACCCTGAGGGGGGAGGGGGTCTACCACAGCAGCACCTGGCGCGAGGAAGAGAGGCGGGGGGGGGAGCGGGGCAGTGCGGTAGGGGAAGAGGCGGTAGTAGGGCACGGACTCGTCAAAAGTGACGTCCTGAGAGGGCAGGACCCGGCGCGAGGTGGCGTGGTAAAACTGCCAGCCAGACGCATCCGGGACAAAGCCCTGGAAGACACAAGGGACAGCGCGGGAGGAGGGCTTGTCCGCGGACGTATCGCGCACAAAAGCGCGAGATCCCCAGACCCGAAAACGCGACGCATCGCCAACCTCTCCCGTCCAACGCAGTGTCGGGAAAGTCTCCGGCAAGGAGACACGGGGCCAGAGGTTGAGATGATGCGCAGCGTAGCGGACCGCAAACGGCCACAGAAAGTGGGGGGCAGCCGCATGGATCAAGGAGGTACAAGCGACCTCCATGACCAAGCCAATGCGGCGCTCAGCAACCCCATTCTGCTGTGGAGAGGCCGAAAGCGTGAACGACTGGCGAATGCCGTGCTCCGCACAGTAGGCTGCCAAGAGGTCGGAGGAGAACTCACCAC